AGTGGTAAACGACACGCCTATTCATAACAGTTGCAGTGCTACGCCGAGCTTTAAATCACAAAGATCTCATAGGCACTGGCACTGCGCCCGTCACCCTTACCCTTCATAACCGGAACGCAGTACTGCTAACATTACTGCTTGGCGGCAGAAATAGGTAAGGTGGCAGTACTTCCCCGGACGAACTCTTTCACAATGAGCCCTACTGCTACTAAATTTCTTTTCAAAAGTTGGTAGAGGTATAGTAAATTATTTAGAGAACTTCGTGATTTTTACATCAATAATAAGCCTATTTAAATAGACATAACTCTCAATAAATATGAATGAGATGTAACAATTATTGTAGACTATAAGCTACTTATCGTTTATTGTTAGTTTATTTTTTGTTAATATCAATAATATTTATTTTATTGAATATCACGATGTTTTTACTAAGATGATATTCATATATTTTTTGTGAAAATACTCCACAAGTTATTATTATTGATTATACCTAATAGGTCCTTGTCCTATACCATAGAGAATTACATGGTCACCTTACTAAATGAAGAGATACGAGCGCATAACGTTAAACTTTTAGAAGGGAAGCCTTCCTGCAAATATGATATTCTATACTACTCGGCTAACATAAATTGACCCGTTACACCCTCCTTCTTTTACGTATCACCTTGTATTTACTCCATAAATCTGCCCAAAAGTATTCACGTTAGCTGACAATAAGTAAAGGGTCATCTTAAAACTGTTGGATAAAATGTATGAGCTGAACTTTAGTAATATAGGTTGTTCAGTAGTGTGGGCATTTATCAAGTTTCCAAAGAATCGTCTATAATGTACATTCCAGCTATAGATATTGAATATTGTTTGAGCAAGCTAGCGGTCTCATTCCGTATTCGCCGCGCATTTGGTTTGCATGTAATAAGTTTTGCATGATCCCTTTGGGGAAATATTTAAACTGGTGGTACGATCAAGCGGCGTATACTGTACTTACCCAATGCTATCTATAATTTTACAAACGGATTGACCGCCTACATTTTGTTCAGGAACCATATTTGTTTACTAGTTTTTTCTTTTGCTATCGTGAGATTGATAATCAGCTGAAATATGTAGTCTGAATGGATGAATACCAACCCACAGAGCAGGCTGGCTTCCGGAGTAACTATACTCCATCGCAGAACACATCCATGCTGTCAAACAACTGGTTGAGAGATGCCGAGAGTACGACCGGCCCATGTGCTTAGCCTTTGTAGATTACGAAAAGGGTTTCGACAGCGTTGAGCACTAGGCAGTGTCCCATTCTCTGCATCGTTGTAACATAGCACCCCGGGAGCTATATAAAAACGCAACACTCCAAGTCCGAATGCACAGACTTACCGATTTCGTCCCAATCCGACGAGGTATTCGTCAAGGCGATACTACCTCACCCAAGCTATTCACTACTGTGCTCGAGGACATCAAGAAAACACTCTATTGGGACGTGATAGGAGTAAAGATCGATTGCCGCAATTTAACACATCTGCGCTTCGCTGACGACTTAGTTCTTCTAGATGAAAGTATCGAACAGTTGCAAAGCATACTCCAAGATCTGCACCAAGCATCGATGAGGGTGCACCTAAAGATGAACAGGACCAAAATCAAGGTGATGACCAACTTTGCGGGTCCTAAACATAATATAAATATAGGCAACTGCCCCATAGAGGTAGTGGAAATTACGAGACGAACTCAGGATGGGCTGCCTTCAATAGGTTGGAAGATGTGTTCAAGCCTAGAATCCCTCATGCCTGAAGACCAAGCCAACCAGATCAACCAATGTGTTCTACCTATACTTACTTATGCTTCCGAAACGCGGCCGCTCACGAAAGAATACGTGCACAAGATTCAAGTAACATAAAGGGCAATGGAGCGCGCCATGCTCGGAATTTTTCTGTTGGCTCATGTACCCAATGAAGACATTCTACGTCGTACAAAGGTAGTAGACGTGGATAGGAGGATAGCCAAGCTTAAGTGGAGGTCACTTGGTTAGAATGGACGAAAGCCATGGCCAAGAGACGCAAAAAAACCAAAAGGCAGACCACCCGCCCGATGGATTGATGATATCGAGCCCGTTCTTGGAAACCACTAGACGACTCGCAAGAGACCGAAAAGAATGGCGCAACAGAGAGGAGACCCATGAACTCAGCTGTGAGTGCAAACAGGCTGAATGAATAAAGAATATTTCAATATTGCATCTACAGAATTATATCAATAGTTTTCTGACACAAGTTTGAGCAACGACTAAAAAACTTCTTTTTGTTATTATTGTCGTCCTCTGCGGTACACAGGGTCTGCACAAATTCTGGCCAAGTGTCACTTGAGCTGTCTTCTTTGCTTATCCCCATTTCAGTGCAGCAGTTTTGAATCCGCCCATGATGTTGCACCCCACAGATTTGTACAGATTGGCTGTGTTCTCTTTAAGCGCGTAGCTCGTATGAAGGCTATCGCGGTATTTCCTTTCCAGATACGAAGTGTATTCTATTCACCTCAGTTTTCAAAACTATGTTTTGTTTAATAGGAATTTGTGGGCACTGGGCCGACAAGTTCTCGTTGCAAATCGTGTGCGGATGCGAAGTATGGATCTAAGCCACTTGTTAACAAACACGTTATGCTGGTTGGTTAGTCCCTTTGTTCCTCCATTTCTCGCAGTCGAACAAAAGCAAGCTTTTCACGAAGGACTCGAGGAAGGTGAATTTGATATGACGGGTGAACACGGTTAACCGGTTTAAATTGAACAAATCCCCTCCGAGCCACTCGGGTGTGTTATCAAGCTGCCTTGCTGTATGTAGATTTAGAAACCGTCCTTAATGTGAAGTCTTGGAGTGTGGGACGATCCTTGTTATTCGACATAACCCCTATTTCGGCTGTTTATGTTATGTTACAGGTTAGAGTCTACTACGAAAATTACGTAACACATAACAGTCCGTTTTAAGTTTAAGGGTGGACCGTGTCTCGTTACGATAACGTTGATGTCCCTTGACACTATCTCCCGTATGATGCCGTCGAGCAAAGTGATACAGAATTGACATAAAAAAAAGCTACGTACAAGAGAAATCGCGAAAAATGTAATTCTTGATAATATTAATTATATTGTCTCGAACAAGGCCTGGAAACACACTGTAGGTTAACCATCAAAGTTCCAATATAATCAATATATGTAAATACTTATTTACATATTAAAGATTCAGACTATGTTCAACTCTTGTAAAGTTCTCGCGATCAAAAAGCAAAGGGTTCTTTAAGAGGTACGTGAAGAAATTATAATATTCATATAGTGCAGGATGACTACTAAACTTTCATGATCTTGAACTGACTTCGAGAAAGATTGAATTTGTAATTTATGATGAAACTTCGACTAAGGCATTTTTTTCACATTCAGTACATACATTTTTAGTGTTCCACTCTGGAGTCTCTGGAAATCATTACAGTATGTACCAGTCGTGTGTACTTACTAAATGGAATAATATTAATTGCGAAGAACCGTCATCTTAATGAAGTAACTAGAAAATCTCTAACACATCACACGAGAAACGTTATCGAGAGGTCATTGCGAATTTGATACTAAGTGCGCCATCTATTGAAGCGAATATGAACTTTCAACTTCGGACTTTTCCTATCGCCTTCCACCACTGTTTCATAACTTCAGTTATTTGACATCTATTTAACATAGATGGCGCTATAAGTATTCAATTCTTTTTTTTTTCAGGATTATATTTTCAATTATCACATTATCAGACAAAACGACTCATCCGAAGAATAATGACCTATGTGCAATACTGCTTATTCTCAGGACATTATACAATTCGTTCGCTGTTCTTAGCTCTGGATATCAGAGCGGCTATTGCTCGATTTTATATTTCCGAAACGAAATAATACATCAAATTATGAAAACACCTATAGCTAGGCCTTATTTTGAATAAGAAGATTATGTATTTATCCTATTTTTTTATAATATCAAGTGATGGGACGAACAAGTCGTGCACCTGATGGTAAGCTACACGCCAGTCCTTAACATATTTTCATATTTACATATTTTGCAAACCAGCTACAATGTGTGATGAACCGGGAAGGCTTCAATGATATTTCAAGGTGGACCTGGACATATACAAAGTTTACTTTATTTAGCCAATAAACCAAAATGAAATGACAACATCATAGTATAGGAATGGTACGGATACGAAAGCTGAAGTTCGATAGGAATATAGTAGTATTTCGATACATACTGCGCACACACCAAGAACTATAGATCCCTTGTAAATTCGAGCATGCACACCACAGTTGCCATTCTTGTAATGTAAATTAGTAGTGGCGCCACTGCAACGCTTCTAAAAGCGTCTAATTTGAAGGAGCTGTTAGTAGAATTGTAAGCTATGGCCGATTTACACGTATTAAGTGAAATTAATTAACTAAATTTTAACGTAATTAAATAATCATCAATTTAGTTGATAAGTAATTTAGAATCAAATGTATTTTTCGACGACATAAAATACCATGCCGCGTCTCGCGCATTTACCGATAGACGTGACTCGAGGAAGAAGCATTTGGTGGATTAACGGTTTGTTTGTAGTTTTTTTATGATACCAAGTGATGGGACTAACAAGTCATGCGCCTGGTAGTGTGCTGGTGTCCATAGCAGTTGCAATGCCACTCAGAGCTTTAAATCGGAAAGATAGTAGTGAGATAGAAGTTGATAATTTCACTAGCATCCTTACCCTGCAATACCGGAACGCAGTATATTACAACATTACATTACATTACCGCTTGGCGGCAGAAATAGGTAAGGTGGCAGTACTTCATTGGACGAACTCTTCCACCAGGAGCTCTCTTACTACAAAACTTCCCAACTCCACCCGATTCCCAACATGTCATTAGTTAAAAATACGTGTACACGTTACAGTAGTCGAAAGCTAGTTAATGAGTGACAAAGTCACTTAATCCGCGTGAACCAGCCGTGAGAGAGGAAGTCGACCGACCTTAATGTGCGGCAGCGCCAGCACCCTGCGCAGCTCGTGGATGGCCGAGGCCGTGGCGGGCGTGGCGGCGGCGGGGCCGGGGCCCGCGTGGCGCAGGCGCGTCACGGCGTCCAGCGCCTGCCGGCAGCGCGAGCGCCCCTCGGCCGCGGGCGCGCGCCCGCTCGTCACCACCACCGTGCACGCGATGCGGTCGTACACCTGGTCAGGCGCATACTTCGTCATTCAAAATCCACCACAATATTTTGGTCGTAACGGAACAAAATAGTAGACTGTACAACAAGTGCATAAAACGCGTCATTTTACCCGAGACGAATATATCCACCCGAGCCGAGGGTGAGGGTGGAAACTTAAGTCGAGGGTAAAATGGGTTTTATGAACGAGTTACACACTCGGCTTTTCACTTCGATTGCGAGGAAATTAAACAGCAATATTACAAATAAACGATTTTAATTAAAATTGAATAATTAATAGATTCAGGCGTTACTTTGCGGAAGTCCATGTTAATAAAAATGGAAGTAAATTAATTTGCTACTCCACGAACCCAGTGAAGGTCAAATCGTGCAAAATAGCTGTGCTTGTGTTGAATATTTTTTCATGCAGTTAATTATAGCAACACTGGGGGTAGCGGGGTATAAATTCTCCAACCGTTCTGAACGAGCTCACCCATTCGGCCGAGAGTCGAGCAGTCAACAGCCCCTGAGGATGCCTCGAGGCGAAACGCGCGTTGGGTATATTTTTGGTAATGGTTTGTGACTATAGTTGCGCTAGTGTTATTTATTTTATTAATTTTATGCGGAGGGAGGGTGGTATAATCACAATGTATGTCATTTATGGAGTGTGCAACTCTTTAAGGCTGATTCTCAGATCGCAACATAGAAAAAATTTCAACTTGCTTTTGTGTAAAGGTGTTTAATAATAATGCCATACCTTGAACATATTTATGTGAATGTTTTTGTTCTGTGTCAGGACTGGAGTTGGCTGTTTTTCATAGTACTTACAAACATTAGAACTATACTTGATCGCACCTAAAATGAAATGTAAACCGCCTACTTTGTGTTTCACCGACCATATTTTGTAAATGTACTGTACTTAATAGATTTTATTTATTGTTATTTCAAAGCAACAGACGTGACAACCTGGCTTCCCATAGTACAGGGGTATCAAGCTTAGGAGATACGCACATCTTTGTATTTTTGTGTATTTTGCAATAAAGTAATTTACATTAAAGATAAAAGGTTCCGATGTGGTGTGTGTATAAAAACATATATACGCGATTAACATCCAAAAACAAAGTTTCACTTCCAAAGAAACTATGAGTAAAGCTTGTCATAATAAATATGTACTAAATAAACGTTACCTCTAAAAGGGCTCTAAGCTGCAGATCATCGAGCACGCTATGGAACAAGTCGGGGTCCATGAACAAAGGCCCGTCTTGGAGCACGGAAACGTCGTCCAGAGACTCCACTATTAGATTCACCGCTGCAATAAACAAATCGTGTTTTATTTAATATAGTGTAAACACAATTACGAAATTATACTCCAAAATATAATAATTATTCTTATGTGTCTTTCTTTCGTGTAACTGGTCATATTTTTAGAATTTATTTACTTTTGTGTAATTCCGATATTGACAAATAAGTTCACAATTGCTATATGCTGTACTAGCACGGGCTTGGTTGATATCGCGGGAGTGCAAAACCTGGTTTTTGCGTTGCATTTTACGATATTTGTTGTTTTGTTTTTTTGCTACCGACATTCAAAATTATTTCGTAATGATATACACACGATTCTCTTGTTAATTTTGTCAATTCTATACTCATAAGTAAAATAAGTTGCTCTTCTGTCGTGTATATTTACAGGTTTATAAGATGATTGTGCAGTACTCAGACGGACCGATGTAGGTATAGGGGTGTCAAGAAATCATGGGATGTAATATTTTTTAACTATTTGGAGAAATAAATAAATTAAAAAAAGGGTAAGATAAAGAAATTTTGATTTACTTAACGTGTCTAGTTTATACTAGTCTGGGTTCAGCACTCCTTTTAGTTAAGCCTTAAAACAGGTATGACCTAGTCTGTCAAATATTTCAGCTTGATAGTAGTACAACCAAGAGCATATCACGTTTGACCTTGGACTTTGGATCCTGCTTATGCATACTATCCCAAGAAGATCTTATCAGAAAGATAATCTTACAATAGCAAGTAGAATTGCACAAGACGCAATTCGCGGTCACTGCATTAGATAAACATAAAAGTAGTATTCACCACGATATTTAAGGATGTCAGGATTCAACTCGTTACATGGTACAGATACGGTGATTAAAAACTTCGTGATGAAACCTGCATGTCGAAGAAGGTTCACAATAAAGTCCCCAACCCGCATTGGACTAGCATGGCGAGGTACTGCCTAAACCCTCGCATGAGAGGAAGCTGTTCTCAGCAGTGGGCCGTACAAATAGGTTACAGTATGAAGGGTGTTCTGAGTAATGCACCCAGGTGATTTAAGTTTACTAAAAGTGTACTTAATGCACCTAGGTGAACTAATTCAGGTGAATTAAGTTCTGACATTACTACTTGGTGGCAGAAATAGGTAAAGTGGCAGTACTACTCTGTACGAACTCTTTCACAAGGAGTTCTACAGCCACTTAGTGTACACTGCTATTTAATGTATGAAATACCAACAGAGTGGTTTATCTATCCTGGTTACAAAACAAAATGGATTCAACATACCAGCGGCATTGGCCTCTTCTAACATAGCTTGGCGCCTAGCAGGTTGTTCTTCCTCTTCTTCATCATCAGCGGCTGCTGCGCCTAGAGTCGCGGCACGGAGACGGCGTCGACTGTTGAATTTCTTCAGTTCTTCAACTGTACCTGCTAGGTGGATGCGGTTTTGCTTGTCACGGTCCTGAAAATTGTATGAAGATGTTTGGATAGTGTAAGACAATTACACCAATTACATATTGTCATATTAGGGAATTCTAATCACTTGAAGAACGAAATGCATCCGCGGGCAAAATGCAAAATACAAGTACCAATTTAAGCAAGTTTTTTTTATCATATCAAGTGACGGGACGGACAGGTCGTGCGCCTGATGGTAAGCTGTGAAGCTTAAGTTCAGGATAGGCGTGTGCCTATCCTTAACAGTTGTAGCGCCACTCAAGAGCTTTAAATCGCAAAGATCTGAGGGGCACTGCCACTGCGCACGTCACCCTGAGACATAACTTGACAAATCGAATGTGCCTGTAATTTCACCAGCACCCTTACTCTTCAAAACCGGAACACTGTAATGCTGATATTACTGTTAGCGGCAGAAATAGATAAAGTGGCAGTACTACCCTGGACGAACTAATTCACAAAGAGCTCTACTGCTACTAAATTATAAATTTATAACCGACTTTACTCGTTTATTTGAAATTTAGATAAAATAAATTCAATCTAATCTGTTCTTCCGTCATCCTTTCGAAACAATTTCTGTCAAATAAGTAATACTCAACCAAATTAAAAAACAATGTCAACTATGAAGCTTCATTCGAATCATGCGTCTTTTTATTTCATTCTTTTCTTTTCTTTGAATATTACTTATTTCACAGTAATTTTTTCGGACGGAGAACGTGTAAAGGCCCGCTCTCTGTTTAATACTGATTACCACTAAAGCCTACAGCAATCTCTTAACATTTTTTTGCCCATTTGGACTGATTATAAATATGTTAAAGAGCATAAACTTTTTTATGAAGAATTTAGTTTGATCTAGACAATAAAATTTACTGACCCTTATCCAGCGGTGGTTGAGCACCTCTTGGATAGTGATCCGTTGCGTATGGTCCACAGTGAGCATTCGTTGGACCAAGTCTTTGGCGGAGTCGCTTATGTCGTCCCAATGAGGAGCATCGAACTAGAATATAAAAAAATATTAATTGCACGTAAGTAGCCGTTTGAGTATCGGTTATATATAACTTATAAATTGTTGATGTTACGAATTATATACGAAAAAATAATAATATATGATCTGAAACTGGTTTATGTATTATTAAATAATAAAATTACAGAAACTTTTGAAACAGCAAGTTAAGTATATATACCTAAAGACCTTTTGCTGAGAAGACTCGTTCGTTTCGTCCACGAAATCGTCACAATAAACCTTATCGATTTCCCGGATGCTAAAACCTGGCCGACTAAGTCATTAATAGCATTAATTACTTGCGTAATATTGTATGAATGTACTCACCCTAAGTCGTCCACGGCAAATAGCTTCGAAAAGCCTCTCTCTAGTGCCTGTGAACGGCAGATATCCCACGAGCAGTACGTGTAGCAGTATCCCTGCTGCCCATACGTCGACAGGTTTCCCATAAAGCTGACTAGATACTACTTCTGGTGCCATGTAGTGCGGCGTCCCTATGCGACCTGTAATACAATTTTTTCGTCAGACATTGATATACAAAGGAACCGAATACGACATTGTATTAGATACCAATACTTTGAAGGAAGGTACAACGTGTAATGTACATGTGGCAGTCGTTAAGAAAATATTAAGACGGACGGTGTATATTAAGACGGCTCTCACACGGCGACTTCTGTCGCAACGAAACGCGACACTGCGACTTCAACATAGCATTTAGTTAGTATGAAGTTGTATAAAGTACAACATACGGCTAAAGTCGCGACTCTACAAAGAGACAAGAGACAGTCAGAATATCGCAAATCGATGGGTCACTGATGGAGAACTATCTTAAGCGGGATATTCATCATCCTATAAGTCTTTTATTAGGTAGTGACATTATACAAAAGCCATAGATGAGTACTATAGAATTTTTTCAATACATCATTCTGCTACTCTGTGGGTCTCTTCTTTATAGAAAATCAAAAGTGAACACTTTTATATTATATCAAATTAAGTATCGACTGATAATATTCTAGGCTAGGAATTGACAATGCTAGGATTGTCATAGACAATTACTCCACGCGGACAGCTGTTATCTACGAAGATATTTTAACTCTGATACTTGTCGACAGAACTACTTTTAACTTCTAGAAACTTCCTAGACTTCCGTATACTATACTAGTTCTCAAAATATGAACGTCGGCATTACTTTAGTTGCAATACGGGGAAGTTTCTCGAAGTTGGGAATTTAGGGGTATATTTTAAAAATAGTTAATTGTAGCGCAGTTTTATCGTATTGTTTTATTTTCATTTGCCAGGATTGGTATTGATTGAAAAATTTGTTCAGAATTACAAATAGAATAGATATGTAGTGAAATTTATTAGCTACTACGTCTCATACACATAAAAGAAATTAGATATTCAAGACGTGGAAGAAAACATTCACATTGAATAAAACGTTAGAGCTTAGTCACCATTATAGAATTATGGACATCCCACTCAGTTAAGTATTGTGTTTGACGATAAAAATTAACAACTTTATATAGGGCAATTGGAAGTGTAACTATTTTATCGGATCTAAATCGCGTATACATGTTTTTACAAACCAGCGATTCGGACTCTTTTCAGGACTCATTGTCACTACAGACTGAGATGATGTTAGTCATCAACCAGTTATGTCTCATATTAACGGAAACCACTCTAGGCTGAACTATAGTTACAAAAGTTATTAAATATACGCGATTTAAATCCGAAATAATAGTTTCATTTCCTGTGTGTAGCAATTGCGAAAACTTAAAAATTATTTTTATAGGCCAAATGTTGACATAGTTAAAAAATGGTAACACCGGTATAATAATATGTGATTTAAGATTGAAGGAGACAATATAATTAACAAATGAGTTGAGCAAAAACTTCAACATATTTGGAAACAAGTTTAAATTACTTAAAGACATTATATATGTAAAATATAGTGCAATTATTACAAAATATTATGTCATTGTATTACTAATATATTTGATACTAAAGTAACACAATCGTTATATTATGTTTTATATAAATATATTTATTTATTTATAAATAATAAGGTTCCAAGTTATTAGGTAACATCAGACACTACATTAAACAGACTTTAGAACATGAAAGAAATTGTCCATACAGATATAATACTGTTCATTTTTTCAGGAATATTATTGGACCTTTCTAAAATCTTCTTATTTTTGATTATTATTATTATGTGTTGCATATACTTTATTAATTTTTAATTATTTTTATTAGTTTATTAGTTTGTTAATTGTATGTACTTGTAACCGATTAATTTTTGTAATATTAGTTTTATAGTTGTTCATTTTTTATTATTTAGTTTTAAACCGATGGAATCAGAGCTCGATAAAAAAAAGAACTAAAAAAACATTGAATATGAATTTTTGCAATATCGGGTGGAAGAGGGAACAGGGCTGGTTTTCTAGTAAAAGTTGTTTACTAATCATGGACTTAAGTCAGCTAAGAAATTACGATCTTACACATACGTGAAGGTGACAACATTCGACAAAGTGAAATGTTATTTAAGTAACACAGACTCCAATTGTTAGCAGCTTTGTTTAATTATTATTTGTAATTTTTAAAGTTTTATTAACGCAAATAAATGTTAGTTCATGGTTTTAATAACTGATTCAAACAGAAAATCAACCTCTGGATTAATATGGGAAGTGCCCACTAAATTGCGGTGACAGTGCCAATACAAGACTGGACAGACAGTGCAGCAAGCGAATTTGCGCTTTGATGCCTGTTTTATGAGACATGTAGTGTGTGGTATTTTATTTTTCGGTTAATCGTGATTAGATGACAAACATATTTGCGGCTCATAAACATAACTTGCAACACCAGACAAAAGCTTACAAATTATTTCATTTATAAATTCTTTAATTTTTAAGCTTACTTTTATTTAATTTTTTTAAATTTATTATTTATTTATTTATTTATTTATTCATAAACATCTTTATTTATGTTTTTACCCATTTTTATATTTACGAGCCACAAATAAAACATTGTAATCGTTAGCAAAGCATTCTGAGATAGTTATTGTGAGTCACAGTGTGCTGGTGGAATTTGGCACATATGTCCATGCGGTTAGGGCACAGTTTGCTTCGCTATCGAAGTCTTACCATACTCGTCAGATTTGAGATACGCTTGACCCATAGGGCCCACTAGTGGCCGATTGTCCATCACCAGTTCTGTACAAGACAACCTAGAGTGACACACTCGTAAAAAAAAGATAGAAAACACTCTTTTTCTTGTTAACTCTTTGAGAGAAAAGTAAAACATTTTAAATAAAAACTACTGCTAGCTTAATAATACAGTAAAGTGTTTTTTTTTATTGTATCAGAATAAGATCCATGGGCTTCAAGAACAATTTATCAACTTAAATAAAACGTCATAAAATCAAGGTTTTATACATAAGAAGCGTAACTTGTATAGAAATTTCTTCCACAGTGAAGGCAAACGATGCGCACGTGTATGAGTATGCGCATAGAGTTTGAAGCCTTTTATCATGGTAATTTCTATACATTATTGGTAATTTAATGAGTTATGTAAACTTAGCAGATGACGCAAAAAATTTCGCTTTGAATAAGTTAGCCAGAAAGCACACAACCCGCTTACAAACTGGATAAAAGACTTAGTAAGTACTGAGCTCACCAGGCGGCGCGCGATGCGCAGTCGGCGTGGGCAGTTGCGCGGCGACGCCAAACCCGCCGAGTTTGACAGGCGCGCAGTTGTCACGCCCGGCTAGTAACACGCAGTGCGGGCGCACGTCTCGGTGAACTATGTCGTTCTCGTGGCAGTAGCGGAGGGCTTCCAAGATTTGACGCATGTAATGACTGCAGACGTGATTGCATAAATTAGATAAACACAGCTCCACTCCAGAAAGGTAGTCCGTAGAGATAAATTTGCAATATAGCAACAAGCTGTGTACGAGCCAGGAAACAGGTCGCAAGTCTTCCGTAGAATATTACTCTGTATCGTGTCTAGTTTGTATGTTACACAATATGACATATAGTTCATTATGCTATGTACAATTCGTTACAAAAATTCGTTTCCATTACGTTCCACAGCAATGTAAATTAATTAAGCATTAGCTGATACATTTTATCTTATTTCCTAAAAGGTATAAAATCTACACCAACAGCCTCTATTTGAAGGATCTAAAATTCACAAAAAACGCATTTGAGGTATTTTACCCACTGGGCTACATAGTGAACAATGGTTAAGTGCTGAGAGGTATACATGTTTATTATAGGACTACAAAGTTCACGATAGCATACAATTAACTATTAAAAGTAATGATGAAATTGATCTGAATGTAGCGAATTTTTCAAAGTCAAAGATTATTTATCCCATAGGTAAAATAAATTTACACTTGAAACCGTCACATTTAAGCTACTGTTCACTATGCTGACCTCCCTGAGAAGAACGAGCAAGAAACTCTAGGGATTGCTGTTTTCAAATAAACTTAAATGCTATGGAATACACTTTGAATCAAATTTGTGTGGATTCTGGAGCCATGTCGTCGTTCCATACATTTTTATCTAACACGTAGTCTTCAATTTTGTAATATGATTTTTCGATCAAAATATTTTTAATGTAGTTTTTAAACTTAGGAAATGATAAACTTAATATATGCTCCGGAATCTTATTGTAAAAACGTATACAGTTCCCCATAAAAGAGTTATTTACCTTGGTTAAACGAAATCGTGGTACCATGAGTTTGGACTTAGCTCTAAGGTTAATATTATGGATATCTTCTTTCTTATTGAAATTATGAATATTTTTACGGGCATATAAAATATTTGAGTAAATGTACTGTGTTGCCACAGTCATGATACCAGTCTCCTTAAACTTTTCTTGAGAGAAACCCGAGAGCCTAGACGGTACACAGAACGAATCGCTCGTTTTTGCAATACAAATATGGTTTGAATATCTGCCGCTTTACCCCACATGAGAATCCCGTAGGACATTATACTATGGAAGTAACTAAAGTAAACTAGTCTAGCAGTACTAACATCGGTAAGCTCACGTATTCTGCGGACTGCGTAAGCAGCGGAGCTTAATCTGCTGGCCAGGAAATATATATGTGGAAGTTTACTATCTAAGGTCACCCCCAAGAAGACTACTTTATTAACAAGGTCTAACTTTTCTCCGTTTATTTCTATGCTTGGACTAGTCGATTTTACGTTAGGTAATTCAAATTTAACACATTTTGTCTCCTTGGCATTAAGCAATAAATTGTTAGCATTAATCCAATAATCTACCTTAGAGAGGGTATAATTAATATGGTCATAGTTAATGTCATGTCTGTCTGTTTTAAAAATCAAGGATGTGTCATGCAAATAACACTATTTCGCAATGGTCCTTAACAAAGAATGGCAGATCATTAATATAAATCAAAAATAAGAAAGGTCCAAGTATTGAGCACTGCGGAACACCCATTTTTACCAGAGAACCCAAAGAAGTCACTCCATTTATGTCTACTTTCTGAATTCTACCGTTGAGATATAACGAGACAAGTTTCGACGCCTTGCCATTTACACCGTAATGTTCCAACTTCCTAACATGATCAACGCAATCAAATGCCTTTGAGAGGTCACAAAAATCACTAATAGCGTTCTGGGACCTTTCCCAAGCATCAAAGATGTGTTTTAGTAACGCTACCCCCGCATCGCTAGTCGATCTACCACTAGTAAACCCGTATTGTTCACTATGAAAAATATGATTCCTACCGAAATAGGACAGTACTTGAGTTAGCATAACCTTTTCGAATAGGGAAGAACCTTGCTGTATTTCATTAAATCGGGAAAAATACCTTCGTCACGCACCTATTGAAAGCTACAGCTAAATGTGGGGAAATTAGATCAATAACTGATTCTATTACTTTAGTTGATATGCCCCAGAGATCTTCAGTTTTTTTAACATGTATTGATTTAAAAGCTTTTATTATTTTTATTTTCGAAATCGATTTTTTGATTGATGATTTTTCGAAAATTTTATTTTATTATTTTCAAAATCGAAGTTCTATAAGATGTGTAAAAGATACATACCACGCAACAGCCTCACTGTAGACAAACCCGGCACTCGCTCTGCGCACAACTTCGAAGCAGAGATCGGATCCGTCCATGCTGGAATTCAAAGAAAGAAGTTTTAAATTGTGTACGTGCTCTAATTAAGTATTGAAATGAACAGAATTGCAAGTTAAATTAGTCTAAGTATTTTAAGGAACTTAATAGTGTACAAGCTCGATAGGTTTAACAGATCAAGACAATTAACATTTAAAAAATTATTGATAAGAAAAATGGAAGTAAATTAATTTGCTACTCCGCGAACCCAGTGAAGGTTAAATCATGCAAAATAGCTGCGCTTGTGTTGAATATTTTTTGATGCAGTTAATTTATAATTATAAGTCAGTTAAAATATTCAACACACAAGCAGCTATTTTGTACTATTTAACCTTCACTGGGTTCACGGAGTAGCAAATTAATTTACTTCCATTTTTATTGACATGGGTTTCTGCAAACTAACACCTGAATCTATCAATAAAATTATTGATAGTTAGAAGTTTCATGCCACAGTACGATTTTTGTTGTTTCTTCTGATATTTCAGAGGGGTAACATGCTCCATAGTAGTGGGTCATTAGCAAACGGCAGCAGACTTTAAGAATGGAGATCTGGATTCCCCCTTTCACTCTTGACGACTATCCTCATATCGACTTCATGCGGCGTTACTATCGTCACTCATTCAAGATACATAGAATAGATATTACATATGGTTTTTCTTAAAGCAATCTACTTAACAAGTCAATTCATGACCATGGAGCGTAGAACTGCATTGAAATATGGGGTAAATAAGAAACACTTACTGTAGAAACCTCTACTAGTGCTAATCATTTAGTAAATAACTACACAATTCTAGAACTCTAAACTCACTCATTTACACTTTTACAAGACAATCAACTATTCTTAACTATATTTTTACTAAATGAGTTTGCAAATACAGTTTGTCCTAACACAATAGATTTAACAGAATTGAATATAATATTACTCACTATTCAAATACCATGTAGAGCATTCCCTCAGAGCTGTAGGTCTCTAAAAGCTCCACAATGTGAGGATGTTTCAGCATATGACATATTGTTGCCTCCCGCTTCAAATCTGGTGATTGATATGACAAATAATTATTTCAATTTCATATTTTTATTGATAACATTAACATTATGACTGCAGCAATAAACGATAAAAGTAAGCAAAGTTTTAGTATTCAATTAAAAATTATAGATATTTCACTGTAAGAATTTACAGGTGTTTCTTCTATCATGGGATTAAATTTGAATTGGTTGTACTCATGAATAAATATAACTTTCATGTAAAGGACCCCTCTTAATTGCGAAAGAAAGCTTAGCTACGAAATGAGCAAGTTGTTGCTGAGTTGCTATTGTCACTATTTAGCAACTATTACACATAATATCGCATTTCCAACCCCTGACAGAACAAGAGAGGAAAAGAAGGGAGTGATAAGTTATAAACACAACTGTCAATCTGTGTTTAAATTTGTATCATGGCATCATAGATCTAGAATGATTGAACAAAATTGTGGTTTATTTTGAAATTTCCCGTTCAACTACTTATTTTAACAAGTGATGTCACACAATTTTGAATTTCTACAAGTCAACATACTATCAAATTATAACATATGCTATGAACCAATGCAATACCTGCAGTACTAAGTCCAGGGCTGGCAGTAAAACGGGCAACATCAACAATTTTGACTGCAAACTGTTGACCAGTTTGACGGTGCACACAGCGTCGGACAAGGCTGAATGGTCCCCTATAGAAATAAATCAATTCTGTTTTATGAACCTTAATATGAAGCTATGTGATAAACTTTCGTAACAAAACAATTTCCAATAGGCAACATTGGTTTTTAAATATCCTCTCTAACTTTTAAATCTTTCCATAATTATGAGCAACATATACATATATAATAACTTGTATTGTAAGTGCAAACAATCTACTTATAATGCCCAACAGTTGGTAAATGGCTATAAATTGATATGGAGAGCCAAATCACAATCACAAAGAATAAGTCATACATAACCACTAGAATAATATTTAAACTTATTTGTTATTTTCATGGATTGATTTCAATTTCACATAAGTTTATAATTTTAAATAGAAAATTGCCATAAGACTTACACGTATTAACTAAACTAATGGATAACTCACATATATTTGAGTGGAATATTGACTTAAAAGATCATTAAATACATATTGACGAAGTCTAGTGCTGATTTTCAAGTGGTAAATAGGACTCTTCACATGTAATTTGTTTATAACATTCCACTTAGATGACTTACTCACATGACTTATCTGTTAGTTTAGTTAAAAAGTTAATTGCTCTTTTACTTTTTTATTCTACATACAATGTATCAATTTTTTACTCAGCAGTGACATTATGAATGGGTATATAGAGTGATATGGCACAGTACAATTTTCTTGCTATTATCTGAATCCAGTTGTGCCATTATTTATGGACCTCGACCCTCCTTGATTGTAATAACCAATTTAAAAGTAGTTTGTATTTCTTAGTCATGGTTTAATTTAATTACTTTTTGATATATTCAAGAAGAATATACTTAACTGTGATGGAAGACTCAGCCTATGGCCAATAACCATAACATTCATAACATAACTTTTTCCTGTTGTAATCCTGAGATTACACGCAAATAAATCTTAGGCTGAATAACTTTAATTTTACTGAGATGAGGATATAAGTTACTGTAATTGCCACCTATTTTAAGATTTAGTGGTAGATAACATTTTTTCAAAAATTAGGTAAAAGTATTGTACATCTACAAAATAAATTGAAAAAGTATTGAGAAGATTTTTGCACAAAGAACATAAAAATTTTAAACTGAAATGGATAAAATTAAAAACAATTTAAAAATATTTTAACAGTAATTATGTTTGACAAATACTATATATTGTAATTTAGTAATCAATATTTTAGACAAAAGCTTGACCTACATTTCTAAATTTGAAAACAATTATCGTAGTGAAAAGAAATATTTTTGATAATTATAAGCTATATTTATCTTTCACCGACTGGCACATGATAGCCTAAAGCTGCATAGGTGTCAACACGATTCTTATTAGATTATGTTATACTTACTTGCCAATAATTTCACAAAGTTCGTAGACATCGTCGAAAAGTACATCGTCCTCAGCCATTTTTCACAATAACACTGGTCACTACGTCTCAGAAAAAGGTAAAAAATATCATTTTTGCACAGCCTTCAACCCGCTTTTGGGAAGGTTACGCCCAAGTACCAGATTCGTAGGTAACTAAATTTTATATGAACACCAAAGGACATTTACTACGAAGTCTTATTCACTTAATTATAAATATAATAAGAAAACGCCGTGCTAAATAGTAATTTGTGCATTGTAAAGATATAAATCGGAAATTATTCGCGCATTTTTAAAAACGCAGTTCATAAAGAGAAAAATCTGTTAAAAATACAAAGTGAGAGTTAAAGACAAACGTATATTTAAAATTGCTTGCAAATCACTAATAAATGGCAAATTAGTGATTAGCGTAAAATATATAATTTTACGAGAAGTATTTTTTCTATTTACTTTTGACATTCAGAGATTGCGAATGTACTGAACGAAGTTCGCTGCAAATGAGTTGGGTTGCTAAGGGAAAAAATATTCTGTGAAATTCGAATTACTCTATTATCTCCAAGCGCGTTCCATTTTCTATCGATCAGTAGACGCTATTGGCTACCTTTGGAAAAGAAAAACCATGGCCCATATTTTTGACTTTTAATTTTTTTAGCTTGGCTTGTATGTGAGAAAAAAAGATCGTTTATATCTACATAAAAATACTGGTGCAGTGTGAAACTGCAATTTTTTTGTGCCTTGTGACAAATAACAACACAATACAACGTAGGATTGGGTAACTTTTAAAACGTGTTTCCATAATAGTTCAAGTAAACTGTAAGGAAAGTAGTTGCGAAATATGAGTTATGTATCATAAAAAAATCTAAAAATAAGAAGACATTAAAACCAGGTCTAGTTGATAGGACCACTGAAAGTAATGTTCCAGTTAAACTGTTCGAAATATAAATGTGTTGCAAGGAATCTTTTTTTAAAGTCCGGGCTAAAAAAAACTAAAAAAAATTTTACTATTTCCTAATTTTGAATCATAGTGTTACAACTACAGGAGGTAGATTATATATTTGAATAACTCGATTATTTGCATCTGGGCAAGCAAATAAAGCCGTAAACTTACAATAATAATTTCAAGAACTAGACTTCTCCAAGTAAGCGGTAAATACCCTACACGGTAACGGGTTAGCAGAAATGGATAAATGTGAGTACAACATTTTATCAAAAAAGACCAAAAACAAAACAAAGAATAAAGAATAAACTGCCTCGGTGGCCGAATGGTTACCATGCCGCACTACCACGTAGAGGTCCCAGGTTCGATTCCCGAGCTGGGAGAAATATTTGTATGGCCTGCATTTATTTCTCTCGTGTGTCCATGGCACCCGCGACACAGGGTTTCCCCTAGTGCGGGGCTATGTTGAGTGTGTGCGTTATAATTAATTAATTTTTATGTAATAGAAAAATGTAAAAGTAAAAAATAAATTTGTGCCGTCGAGAGCACATCAGGCTTGATAATTTGAGCTTTGAACCGTTTTGTAGAGTTAAGTTTAGGTCATGAAATTTAATTTAAATTTTAAGCATCAAGCTTGACGCTCTTAATCTCGTACCTACAAGGTCATATTGTTTTTATGTGAAGTAATACTTTTAAGATTGTGTTAGTAAGGGATTCAGAGTATTATTAATTTCAATGAAAAAAAAAAAAGGTTGAAGCGAGCCGAAAAATTTATTGATTTCCTTGTAAAAGAAAAAGTTTCAACAAATAAAATAGTGTTTAATAGTAATGAACGTCAAAAATACTAAAAACAGTGTTGTGGTGTAGAAATATCTACGTAAAATAAAAACCACTGTTAATTTACCCTAGATAGCTACGAAATTACACCCATGAATTCATATAAAATTTTCTTATGAAGGTCCTCCTTTATGTACTTATCATCTGTTTCTTATTACGATGCAACACAATTATGTTCTAAATTGAATGGTAATGAGAGCTATCATAATTACATGCACAAGATAAACAAGATTAATTTTTATATTTGGTTAATTTTTCAATATAAGTAACGTCTTTTGCCTGTGGTCCTACCACAGACATATATCTAGGTAGACGCCGCAAGTACAGCAATGTGTATGAAAACCAAGCGTGCTACATTTTTTGTACCCACTATGATGTCACAATAACTCTTTAGTGATGGAAACCTCTTTCCGCTCGCTCTAAAGGGATTGATTGAACGGAATACACGGGTTTACGCGTATTCCGTTCAATCAATCGATTCCAAATAGAATAATGTTTGTTCAAGTATTTGTTGATTACAAGTAGTCTAAATATTAATATAGTAGAAAAATACTAGAATTTTATTTTTATGTTTTTGTATTTTATTTTACCTGTTTTTATAAAACGTTGATTATTTAAAAAAAATAAGATTTTAATTTTTAATCGTCTTCAAATATTAAAATTATTGTCCTTCCAATAAAATGAGCTTATTATATAACATCTTTTTGTAATAGAAGATCTTAGCGATTAAATAATGAAAACGCACCTCAAAATATGAACTTGCGACTGCCTTAATTAATTTTATTAGATGGTTTTCTGTTGGTAATTGATCAAATTGATGGATGGCAAGACAAATGAAAATGTTACTGCTGACAAAATATAGTAAAATTTTATTAATCAGGAGAGGTTTACTTAATGACGGCCTCGTGTGAAATTTTTGTGATTTGTTTATTATTTCTCGGATTTTAAACTCTGCGATTCTGCATATTTGGATAGCATCTTAGGTGGAATAAGCTAGACCACCTTCGTCCTCGAAAGCAACGAACTCATACTTATGACCAACTCCAGGTTTTTGTAAAGACAGCGCACTGTTAATTCTTTGCATTATATATGTACACTCGGTTGCATATTTGTTTTCTCAAAATTCATACAAAACCAAAATAAATATTTTTAAAATAAATTATGGATATTCTGATTACAAAATCACTTGCCCGTGGAAGGAAATGTTCCTGTTTACCCGTGTACCCACAGTTATGGTGGTATTATATGGCTTTGCAGTTTATAATGGCACTGTTATGCATTTTTCGCCTTTTCGACTGGTGTTTATCTACGATAACGGTCGAGCGCGTTCTGAAGTATAGCAGCGGCTAGTAAGTGAATTTCACTTACTTTGGGTACGCGAAGCACGTACACTTGCGTCGTCTATCTAGTTATATGTCTGTGGGTCCTACCGTTTTGCCCGTGGTCCTAGTATGTAGTTCTTCTGGTAGTACCACAGAAAATATTTTTTGTCCGTGGTTCTACTAGTAGAAGTTTAACAAGAAATTTATTATATTCTATAGGCATTGGACCTACTGATCGAGTAGTACAGTCACCATCAATATTTTTAGTGTTACTGGTTCTAATATGGGTATTCAATTTTGTAATGCCCATTTTTAATATATCTGTATTAACATTATTTTCTCATTTCTATATTTTTGAAGTGTACCACGTCCGATATATATATGTTATGTAATAAATTGCATTCAAAGGCTTAGAAAAAAACACACCTTTTAAATAATTGTAATTAATAATTTACATAGTAAATTTTTGTTATTTATTACTAAAAATATAATTAAATAAGCAAAGAAATATTAGGAATATTTTCTCAATTTCGTTCTCACGACATTACATAAAGGTTTCAACCTTAAAATATACACATTAGAAGGTAAAAATTGCAATTTTTTTCCAAACATTGTTTACATTAAATAATATTTTACTAACAAGAAACATGTTCAATTCTAATAGTTACAAATAGTATTATTTACTTTTTGTTGAAAGTATTGACATCCAGGAACAGTTATGTGAAGTTCGGAATCAGGGTATTTGGGTTTCCAAGCTCTGTTCACATTGATCTTGTAATTGCATTTATATTCCAATTCGTAGATATCAAACGTTGTTTGCTGAAAAAGAATCAGTTCCTAAATTAGCATAACAAATCTATAATAGAACGCGCCGCCAAGCGATTTGAAATTTTTTCGTCATGGCAACATAATATTACACTTTCTGGGAGCTCGAATTCAGCTTCACATTAGAGCTAAAATAGCTAACTTCACTCTAAACTATGTGGCGGCAAAGTCCAGGCAAATTGTAGGTATTTTATTGCTGCATGAAAGATTTTACCTCGGTGATTGCTGATAAATCTTTTTGTGGCGTTTCTTTGTTTTCACATTGAATTGTTCTCCAGTTTACGTAATATCTAGAAAACAAATAATGATTAAATAAGAGAAAATAAGTTTACCTAATTACATATTTCATAGACATACATATATTACTTATGTAATGTATATTTAAAAATTCTAAGATTTAAAATGGGTACAAGGGTACAATAATAGAATTACCGTTGTTGTCTATCTGTGTTACGCAGAGGGTCCCATGAGATCTTGCCTTTTAGTTTTCTGTTGTACCAAATTATTTTATGTAGCTTTAAGCCCGTTATTTTCCCTTCGTGTCTTTGAAGAGACTCCGGGAGAATCTCTGTAACATCCAAAAACAAAAAGCATAAATATAAAATAAAACTTTGACAAAAACGTTTGCCACCCTTAGAGACGGAATATTTCATTCAAATTTATAGTCATTCAAATATATAATATAATTTGACTAATACTGAGGTACCCCTCTTTCCAACAAAAAAAGAATAACCGTAATCGGTTCACAAATAGAGATATCGCGTAACAAACATAAAAAAAAACACAATCGAATTCAGAACGTGCTCCTTTTTTTTGAAGGCGGTTAAAAATATGTGTATTTTAATCTACTTGTGAATTAATGTTAAGTTGTTAACCCACGGAAGAATAATAAGTAAATAAATAAGTAACTATGACGATAAGTGTGATACTGCATATCAGTTAAGTTGTAGCTAAGGAGTCATAACACAACTCTACACGGAATCTGGGGTTTTGAGTGTTCGTCAATGGTTTGTCTGCATATTGTACGTAGGACAGTTTTTGCTCAAATCCAATGTAGAGGTATGAGATCCAGATTTTTTACAACTTGATTGACAGTAAGTTGTCGGTATAGGTTCGAGTTTAAATTTAAATTATGTAAGTGGTTGTTGACTCAAACTTATGACCAATCAGGGGAATTATTGAAAGTCGTTGAATACATTTATGACAATTTAAATAAGTACTTTTATGTTGGTATATCGTTATAATTTGTTTTAAGAATTATGTTTCCTTACCTATAGTTTTGTTTATTTTGATTATTTTTTTGGGGTACCTATACCCCTACTGTGGGAGCTTATGTATGTATGTATGTACGGTAGGTACAATTCATATTGTTTATGCTACTTGTTTTAATTACTTTTACATGAAATAGACTCTTGTTTCCTTTTCTCTATGTCTAACAAGCAAAGGACCAATTACTCCTACAATTCAAATTTTTACTTAGCTTAGGAGTTAACTCGTTCATGTGTTTAAATGACTACTGTAGACACGACATAAACATGTTCAAATTTTTTATTATTTTTTGTATTGTATTGTAGTGTTTACTTTAAGTGTTAAGTACTTTTCTTAAAGAAATAAATTAAGATTCTTGCATTATTATTTTGATTATAATGTATTTCAGATTCTCGCCACGGCAGTGGCACAATCGGCCGCGATAAGAGGTTCAGGTTCAAGAACCGGCGAACAATACGCGCCACATTCAGCAGGACCGCTTTTTGCGCGTTTGTGCTGGAAGCATGAAAGTCAACTGCTGCAAGTTGTTAGCGTACAAAGCTATTGGGATTATTTCAGTGGAGACTACATCCCTTATACTGGTAACCTCGTGCGCCAGATCGAGGTGTTTCCGATGTTTCTCGGTTCCGGTTTTCAAGGGTTAGTAACGTTCACAAGAAATACTCTCGAATGCAATCGATCTAATACCACAATATCAGGCTTATTCGCAAGAATAGTCCTATCTGTGATAATGGATCGGTCTGAATCGATTTTGGTGTGGTCGTTTTCTAAAATTGGCTCAGGTGAATACTTGTAACATGGCATCCTTTTTTTGCGCAAATCCATACTTCAAAGCGAGCTCCTTGTGTAATATTTTGGCAAAAGAAGCTTGGTTGTGTCTGTGCAAGTACTCAGTGTAGCAAAATCGAAAAAAACGGTAACAATACGCTTCAGTGAATCTCTGGAACGGCCACATGTCTGATAAATGCCTTTGTCCTTTGAGGTATATCGTCGGCTTACTGCCAAAACTCACTAATTACAAAAAGTCACTAAATCAAGTCATTGCAACCGTTGAATTCAGCGCATTCGATTGCACGTAAGTAAAATTCACTACCTTCGCAGCTTTCTTATTTTCGACTTTAAAACTGTAAACTTAAACGTCCTTTTGTAAAATTCATTAATTATGGTTCTCAGTTGTATTAAAATCAATTATGAGGAAATCAACTAATAATTAAATATTTACTAGCTTTCCAACTAAACTATTTAGTTTAAGTAAGCCTGACTGTCCAATAGAGAAGGAAGCAAAGTCCTCAAGAAGTAGGTAAACGAGATAAAGAACGTAGTAGTGGTTTTGCTGCGCTATCGACTTTGATATGTTAATAATGCTCCTGCAAAGTCATTAACTTTGGTTTTATTTTATTAGGTACTTATGTGGCCAAAAGTGGATAATTTTTTTTCGAATTTTTAAAAAGAAACATTTTACTAACTCAGTGCCCATTGTACTCAAATAGTCCAATAAAAATGTACTTTACACTACTGTGTTTTTATTTCTTTTAGTTTAGATAAAATACTGAAATTATGAGACTTTACATTGTAAAACTTTAACAATTTTTTGTTCTCGAAATCGATTTTGTGTCATTTAGTCAGTTTTGGCGTTAAGCCGACGATATCTTCGATGGTTCTGTATCCTTATAACTTGATACTGTATTGCAAAGACAAAACCTTTGTTTTCCCCAAAAATGTCCCTGAAACGCAGCACATGCAGGCTTTATTTTTATTATTATCACACTTATTAACGCGGTATCGGCTCGACCCGGTAAGAAAACGAACAAGTATTATTACATAATTAAAATTTAATTAAATTCTTCTAAATCCTATTTATCTGCAGATGTTTTCTATTCACGATATCCCTGTTAAGCTTTCTACACACCGAACCCGCCGACCCGGCGATACAACCCGGCGGGTTGATGTCGGCGGCCTTAATTCTAATTTAATCCTATCCTATCCCACTGACACCAACCCGCCGGCTTTGTCGCCGGGTCGGCGGGCTCGGTGTGTAGAAAGCTTTACGGGTAAAAAAACCTAGGAGAAAATAAGTATTAGCTTCGTATGTGCCAATAATTATTGCGCCCTCTGTCTATTATTATGTTTAAGTTCATCTTATATAGCAGCATGTTATACGCTGTCTTTTATTTGTTTCCGTATTTTATTCTAGCAATAAAGAATTTGTATAAGGATACAGTCACAATATAGTGCATTTTGATAAAATTGCAACTGCTATTTTGCAATCGAAGTGCAGATTATATGACAGCGCATTACAAAGCTATCATATGTATGTATGCGGGAAAGGATGCCTCAGCAGCTGCCGATGCTGTTGTCGATGAGATTGGAACGGCTATGGATTACTACATACCGTCTTCCAGTGTCATCGCCAATCGCAGAGGACGCCCTTGGTTCAATCGCGAATGCATGACCGCTGTTAGTGAGAAACAGGCTGCATATCGTGGTTGGATCAAGGGTCGTGTAACAAAGGATCCCAACCTTGCGTCCCTTAAAGCAGCCTATAACAAAGCAACCAAGTTTTGCAGGAGGGCTTACATAAGAGCGGATGCCCAGCGCGTTTCACGGATTGGCCAGAAGCTGGTAGCCCATCCCACCGGTAGCCGTGCCTACTGGAGCCGGGCCAAAGCCGTGCAGTTCAATTTTTGTCGTTGGTCGCTGCCACCTTTGAGGTATCCCAATGGATTTTTGGCCTATGGCCCCGAAGAGAAAGCCAATTTATTGGCCGACCTTTTTGGGGCTAACTCGCGCATTCACGACCAAGATGCGCAACCGCCGTCAATTCCCCACTGCGGAGTCACAATGCCTGATATAGTTATCAGACAATGTTATGTCCGCAAGGAATTGCAGACTCTTGACGTGCGGAAGGCCTATGGTCCGGATAAGATACCTCCTATCGTCCTTAAAAGGTGTGCGGCGGAGTTGTCTCCCATACTGACGCGCTTATACCGCCTCTCATACCAATCTGGTAACGTGCCCCTAGCTTGGACGGAGGCCAACGTGCCACCTATCCCCAAGAAAGGAGATCGGTCTGATCCGACAAACTATCGCCCAATAGCTGTCACTTCAGTGCTCTGCAAAGTGATGGAGCGGATTCTAAATATCCAGATAATCTGATCTGCACCTGGAACGTCACTCCATTCTTAATGATCGACAGTACGGGTTTCGGCCGAACCGATCAACGGGTGCCGTTCTGGCGTATCTAATGCATCTCTGGGGTGAAGCTATCGACAAACAGGGCGAAACCTTAGCGATAAGTCTGGATATTGCTAAGGCCTTTGATCGGGTCTGGCACCGTGGTCTCCTCTCCAAGCTTCCGGCATATGGTCTTCCCGGCCGCCTTTGTCAGTGGATCTCCGGCTTTCTGCGCGAGCGAAGATTGCGTGTCCTTGTTGACGGAGGCACTTCGCGGCTCGTGACAGTTAATGCTGGGGTGCCACAGGGCTCCGTGCTGTCGCCCACGCTGTTCCTTCTGCATATCAATGACTTGTTGCCTTTAGGCAACATTCATTGCTATGCAGATAGCACAGTGCACGGTTGCTATTATAAGCAATCGTCAAGCAGCCGGGAGGACCCTGAGAGAAACCGGAAAAAACTTGTCGCTGAGCTCAACCATGTTTTGGAACATATATCGTCGTGGGGCTCCCGAAACTTGCGTTCAGCTCCAAAAAATTCCCATTCCTTCCACTTCCCTATCTTCAGGGTACAATGCTGACGCTGCAGGACAAGCTCAGCCTACTGTGGATGAGCATCCGGAAGGACATGAGCAACAAAGAGTATATCGAGAGCGTCATCTGTACCGCGTCGCGCAAGCTTGGCATCCTGAACAAGGTGCACCGATTTTTTATTTCAGAGCTGCGATACCTGTTGTATAAAGCTCAGGTCCGAAGCAGCATGGAGTACTGTTCGCACCTTTGGGACGGCTCTGCCAAGTACTTTCTCGATGCCCTAGATGGACTGCAGCGCTACGCCTTCCGTGTTGTCAACGATCCTCATGTAACTGAGCATGCGGAGTCGTTACAGCTTCGCAGAGATATAGCGTCTTAGCGTATTCTATCGCCTGTACCACGCCGAGTGCTCTGAAGAGTTATTCAACCTTATCCCTTCCTCTCCTTTCCATCAGCGGACCACCCGTGCCGGACTGCGTTGCCACAGTTGGACGGTCAGTTCAATACCGTCCCGCACTAAAAAGTTTGGCAATTCGTTTTTATACCGAACCATCAAATTGTGGAACCAACTCCCGGCGCATTTATATATTCCCTCCCCTCTATAACATCGGGTCCTTCAAACGTAGTGTGAAGAAGCATTTGGCCAGACCGGCAAAATGATAGTGACGGAGTGAAGATATTTGTGTTTTCCATCCGTTACTCTCATCTCTGGACTGTATTCGCACTTTCCATCAGGCGCGGTGCAGTCATTTTGCCGAGTCACAATAAAAAAAAAAAGATATCAAGTTTTTGCCACTAAAATACACATAAAACTTTTCCTGTCGGGCTTAATACGTTTCCTTGATGATAAGTGTGGTGACTTCCTTCAGATTTAATTTGTCAATTTCAACAATCTGTATATTAATATAATTACGTTATTAGTTACCTACCATTAGATTTCGTGGTGTTGAAGAAGATAGCAGATTTTTCACTGCGAAGTTTTCCCACCCCAAATTGGCTTATTGTTTGAACTTGGAAGAAATACAAGGAACTTGGTTGCAAATCCTTTATTTCAATGAATTTTTTCTCCTGAAATTGTTATGATAGTATTACCATGGGATATCAACAACATACACATATATTATTATCGATAAAACTTGGATAAAAGAAGTGTTGAATCTCGAAAATTTGAGCTGTCATGGTAAATAAGAAGTATAAAATATAAAAAAATAAACGCAAAATTATTTCAAATTAAAAAACATTTACAATTACACAAATTCGTGAAAACATTTAATAGTCGTTGAAAATATTACAACAAACCGAAGCTTTCTCAATGGTAAGTATTCTTTTTGATTTGTTAGTTTGCAAATAATTGTATAGATGGCAGTTCTTTGAATTTATTCTCGAAAGTAAGTAACGTTTTAACACTAACTTTTTATTTAAAATATTAAAAGTAACTGACTCAGCTTCTTTGCGACTTTATTATAAATTATTATGTATATAATCGTGACCTGAACATGAGCCTTTTTGATTATTATTACGGAGTTTCGAGGGTTTACTTGGTACCATCTATTAGCCATCTACTTGTATTAATGAACATAAGCGTCCGGATAAGCGGATTTACGAGTGCGACATTTCTTTGTATGAGATTGGCTATATGTATTGTACTAGTATATAGTATTATAATTTTTGGTATTCCACTGATGTTGATATTTAAAACTCGCTGGAGTTATCAAACAATGTGTTTTTTTGGTTCCTGACGGTATTTGTAATAAGTCAATGTGTACTAATGATTTATTATACGGGGTACTAGTATGCATAGCTAACAATCTTTGCTGCTATTGTATTTACCTTAGAAACTGATTGGTGGTTGACCAACACGGAATCCAGCTCGCCTCCAAGCCCTTGAACTCTCCGGCTCCAAAATACTTTATATCGCATTACTGGCAAGTCAGATCGTGGTTCACGCCATTCGAGTCTTACTGTTACTGTACCTAGAATTGTTTAATTAGTTATTATAATAGTAAGAGCGGTTACACACGGGACTTTTAGAAGCGATGCAAACGCGATGCAATATCGATGCAGTCCTTAAATGTCTACCTATAAACACGCGCGTGATTTTAAGTAGCGCAAGCAAGCGTACAATTGCAACGATACAATCGCCCGATTGCATCCATAGAATCGCGCGTTTGCGTCGATGCAATCGCGCGTTTGTATCGATGCAGTCGCGCGTTTGCATCGTTGCAATTGCTTATAAATCACAAGTGTTGCGATGCAATCGTGCGTTTTACGAACGCGCGATGCATCACTACTAAAAGTTGCCGAGTGTAACCACCCTAAGTATTCGCGCTAATCAGTTATACATTCATGAATAAAGAGCAGCAACTGTGTAGTGTGTATGACATTTGATAATAAAGATGATAATGATAATATAGTTGTAATTTGTAATTCGACATGAACGTAATTGAATCTACATAATTTCGCAATAGCCATTGCGCAGTCGCACAAGCTGCATTTTGATTTTTTGCAAAATAACAGTGCAGTCATACTGTACCATGTGTGACTACACCCTTAGGTCTATACAAATTCTTTACTGTGAACAAAGTCACAACGTGCTACCATACAAAATGAACTTAAAAATAGTAATAGATAGAGAGCGCCTTAATACTGTCACATAAGAAGCTGATACTAATATTATTTAAACATAATGATTTTTTATTAGTGGCAGTGACATTAGAAAAATATTGATATTTTTAACGTTGAAACTATTTACCTAAACAATTAGTTTGGTCTAAAACTTCTGCAGATCAATAGGATTCGGAATAATTTAATTCAATTTTAATTAATATACTCGTTCGTCTACAAATCTCTTTCGTATAAATTTTATAGTCTCTCTAAGTTTTAGTTTCATATTGAAATTCTAAATTTAAATGTGATTGTTTTTAGCGCCTTTTCTTCATTCACTATTGTTTATCCGTTTTGCTTTGATAGTTGTACGTGTTTATTAATAATTAATAAACTGTAAGTACATTTGTTTTGGTCTTGCTCACACTTTGTTGACACTCACCCGAACCCATTAATACAGTCCGCTACAGTCCCACTACTTCATATCATAAAAAGGATGAAAAGTCAAAGTTTCCTTACCATTCTCGGATCTAATCGGTCGAACCCTTAATTTCTTCGGAGGCGATGGCGGCCTAGGTCCTCTCCTTGGAGTGAACGGAGCGCTAGGCTCCGAGAACCCTCGAGTGCCAGCAGCACTTACTGCAGCCACTCGGAATCGGTACCAGCGTCCAGGTTTTAGCAGGTTGCGGAGAGATACTTTTGTTCTTATAAAAACGACACAAGAAAAATTTTTTTTAAGCAATGTAATAAACTATGTACGTATGTTTTACTTTGTTTTTTTATGTATTTTTTTATATTTGTAAGTGAAAGTCGCTTGGACATTCACAATCGCGTGCTAATTCTAACTAACTAAACTAACAATCGTTAACGGTTGAACGAGAAAATGTTTAACTTTATTCATACGTAACACAAGAAATAATGACTTATTGTTACTACCTACTATCTCACTATTTTTGTCCTTCGCTGAAATTTAGTTATTAACGTATCTGGAATCAGGAAATCGAGATCTACAACCTGTAATCGGTTTTTTAATATCTTATTTAGTTTATTTTATTGTTAAGCAAAACTAACGTTACTGACATTTTTCAAACAAAAAACCTTGAAGCGCCAATATTTCCAAAGTGACCAAAATACAAATGTGTTATTTGTGACAAGGAGGGCCGATTTGTATTTTAAAAATTTATTAAAAAGTACATTAGAATATGAAGTCTAGGGATATTTATGTATATGTTAATGCTGACTAAATATGACCGCCAATGTAAACAATTCTTATGGGTCATATCAGAATGACGTCATTCTGACCTAGTATGTAGTACTAGTATGATCACTAACAAATTGCCTATAAGATTCTTGTTGATGTTAAAAGTTTACTGTTTACGTGATTTAAAACTAATGTAAAAAAAACAACTTTATACACTTTTATATACTTAAGATTTATTATACAGCTTCGTAGTTTGGACGCCAAAAGTCCATTGGGAGTGATCCGTTTGGTTCTTATTATTTCTACCTATGACATACATATTCATCAAAGAGCAGTCCACAGAGGGTCTTACTTAACGTGTTGTATTTCGTTTATAAGCTTGCTGAAGAAGTCATATCTTACTTATTCTTCTCAGGCGAACTTGCGTTACGAATTAGTGCCTATTTCATTGATTTTAATTCCAAGTGTAATTTACTAACTTATAAAATAAAGATATTTTGAATTTGCATTAGTCCAGAAAAATAAGCAAATGTATCTATTATAAGTAAGTCAGAAAACTTAATAGATTAGCCTTCCAGAAGAAATTTTGAGACACGAATCTGGCCTTTGTTATTATGAATTTAATGTTGTTTAAATAAGTATATGAAACCCTTAAGAAACACCATAAGTACACTAACTGACTAATTCATATAATAACTCCATCTACAAGGTGTACCTAACAAGAAGGTGTGATCGTCCTTATGATAACAACAGCTGAATATATTTCAGCTATTATCTATAATATTCAGCTGTTGTTGTCGGACCTTTTTGTCTAAGAAACATGTAGCTAGTGACAATAGTTAAGTGAATATCCAAGAGTTTTAAAATCTACAGTATGTAGAGACAGTTTGTTCTACTCACTTATTCGTACGTAGTAGCAAGTTCCACGTTCCAAGCCTTGCTTCCTCATATTTGGGGCCGAGATGATGTTGTTCTTCGAGGAGATACAGGACTCTACCTGGCACAGCCCTTGCGGCATCGCCGACGCCGTCTGACCATTTAATAATAACAGACCGACGTTTTTCTTTAGGTTCTTCTATTACTGGTAGAGCTGGGAGGCCTGTGAAATACACAATTTAGTTTTGTAAGTCAGAATCTCCTTGTAGCCTAGCCTTAGCGGAAGGAAAGGAAAGGCTCGTCCCCATTTAATTTAAAAGTAGAAATGTAAAGCCGTAACAATAAAATAATAAAACTTAAATCGCACATAACAACTCAAGTTGTCAAGTGCGAGATGTATATTAAATACAATCCAGATAATTTTCACTCCAAAAAGGCCTGTATATCTATGATTTAACAGGAAATCACGTGAAGTTTCGAATTAAATGAGGGTAATGATTTATGAGCACGTCTTCTCGTTTTGAGAATTTTGATGAGAGCTATGACGGAACGAACCAAGTAAGAATAATGAAGGAAAAAGGAACTCGAGAACGATTCAAAATTTGAAAGTAAGTTGCCAGGAATCAGTAAAGAGTGTCATACAAATGTGGGATGACGAAAGGTTGTCACCATTGTCACATACTTTGACAAAAAAGTAAAATATTTTGTAAGATACTTACAGTTTTGAGAAATACGTACCACCGAGAACTGAGTTTACGTTTATGCTACAGACGTCGGCGTTCAGTAAGAATTTGAAAGAAGTGGTATACCTTTTCAAAATGTAAATTTTCCATCTAACATTAGCATATAAAATAGAAAGAAAACTCACCCGAAAGCGTAAGCAAATCAACTGGTTCGCTGCAAGAAGAGCCACATCGCAGTTTACAGCATTTCTGAGTGCCATCGCACTGCCCATCCAGATTGCAAGCCTCCACGCATGCATTAGCCCATCTTGAGTTGTCCGGCATTGGGCAAGTGCCAGGTTTTTGCTGTTGAAATTTGCATTGTGTGCGGCACTGAAATTATAAAAAATCTAAAAATTAACAAAGGACCTTATTACACCATTGTAAACAGGAAGATGTTAGTTCGTTATTTAAAATTACTAAAACACGGATAAAGAATATGTAGTCTGTGGACTAAAAGAAAGATGTCAGTTATCAGTAAGATACTTAGAGGATGGAAAAAAATAAAGGAATAGTCTTAGGTAAGATAAGATTCCTAAAATCAAAACAACTTTTATTCGTCATAATGACTTTCAAATATTGTGACAAACATTTTATCACTTGCCACATAAAATTGCGTCAAACATTCAAGATAGGAATATAGGATAGATTCAGGCTACTACATTTTTTATTAGACAATAACTTATAACACATTGGTACAATAATAGCTTAAATACTAGAAAGTAAAACTAGAATTAAATTATATGAATAAAATTGGGTCAAAATAAAAGATGCTGGCAGCGTTCCCCCTTTGTATTGCTATGTTAATGCGTTGGGCGAGGTAGCTGCCGGCTCTTGGGTTTCCTAGACAGTCTATTAATTTTTTTAACAGGTAGTCAGAGCCAAGGTCCTGGTACTTATTAGTATTTACTCTTTCCGCCAGCTCAGCTGCGGAACCAGCCCTCTTGCTGATGTGCTGGAGATGGGATGGGGCCAGTGATTTAGGCTAATTAAAAATGGCCCTGTATTATTATGTATTGAATATTTTTTTTTATAATTATTATTACTTTTTATTTACTAATGAATGAACCTTTACTGAAGCTAAAACTTACAAATGTGGTTTACGAACGTTATATGTAGGACTGCCTTGCTGTTAAAATATTTGTATAGGAAATTTGGTTTTTAATATATACAGAATTGTCACACATTATATACTACGCAGTCGCGATTGTCAATACCGTAAGCTCATGGTAGAAGTACTCTAGGTATAATAAACTTTGTAGCGTTCACATATTCCGGTTGACGAACGCGGATATGCTCTGACCACGCTGTATGTATACATAGGTAATTACATCATCGATAATCAAACAATACGAAGCAATTACTTGCATTTCTCTATTGGCGTAATCATCGACTCACTACATTGAACATATTTAATTTTTAAACGGTTAAGAACCGTAATATAGATTCGTTTTATTACCATTAACAAATGGTTTTCATGTCCAATAGTTAATTTTATTTATTAACAGGCGTATACGAGTTAAAAAAACAAAAAACAAACTTAAAAAAATTAACCTTTAAAACTTTTACTACACGATAAACAATATAGATAGAAATAATAGACTACCTAGCTATATTATTATTTCTTATTGTTTAACCATCGTCTTCAAGTCTAGGTATTTTTTAAATTATTTTTGTTGTTTATTGTACCGAAGAGATGTCAATGTTTGCTGCGACTTTTTTCATATATCTATGGGAAATACCTACCTCAATTTGAGAATTATTCATCGACGATCTCTTTATTTCGGTAGACAAAGCTTTTTAAATATCTGACAGGTTCTACGTGAATGCTTTAAGCGACATACAATGATTTCAGTTTTATAGCCTGTTCTACAATAAGTAACAAAAAGGTATAATTTTATTTTGTATTGTGAACGTATACATATATTATGTGTATGAAACAGAACCGAACGTTACAGAATTTAAATTTTTGTCCCAACCAAGTGTAAAGTGAATCTACTGGCAATTCCGTTATTTTCTTCAGAACTAGAGAATGAAACTTATAAAATTAATTAGGAGTAAATGCTTGGATAGCAGGGTTTGATATCTGGTTTTCACACTTTGCAGTATGAAGTCATCATTCAACATTTTACATTATAAAGTCATTTTTTTCGAATTAGCCGTAGGGCTCCTTGTGATAAAGTTCGTCCAGGCAAATACCGCCATCTTACCTATTTTTACCGTCAAGTAGTAATGTAAGCATTACTGCATTCCAGTTTTGAAGGGTAAACGGCGCTGGTAAAATTCCAGGCACATGGGACTTGTCAACTTATGTCAGGAGGTGACGGAAGCAATAGCAGTGTCTCTTAAACAGGCGCGTCGTTTATCACCAGTCGCACGACTTGTTCATCCCGTCACTTAGTATTATAAACAAAAATAATTCATAAAATGAGATTTAAAAGGTTTGACGTCAGACTAGGGAGTTCCTTCTAAGTAACTTATCATATCGGTACAAGTAATCTAATCCTAGACAATGTAATTTATGATTTATTGTAATAAGTACCTAATTAGCTGCTTAATATTATAGTATTTATAAAACATTCTTATAATAAGTTAATACATTTCAAGTAAATAAAGTAGTTTAAACAAAAAGCATTGCAGTCTAGTGAATGGCTATTATCTGTACAGATGGAGCAAAGAATAGCTGTGTTTCAGCATGTAATACAATTTTTTTTTTTATATAAAATGACGGGATTTACAACCTGTCCATAACGTTGCAGTGCCGCTTAGAGCTATAAATCGCAAAGATCTGAGTGGCACTCCTACAGCACCCGTCACCCTGAGACATAAGTTCAAATTCCCATGTGCCTGTAATTTCACCAGCAACCTTACCCTTCAAAATCGGAACGCAGTAATGATCACATTACTGCTTGGCAGCAGAAATAGATAAAGTGGCAGTACTTCCCTGAATAAAGTCTTTCACAAGGAGCTCTACTGCTACTATATTAAGATACGTTCCTGATGCACAGCTGTACTCTCCTAACTTCAGTTCTAAGAAAAATGTCATCTTTTAATCAAAACGAATTCCCCGACCAGCTGTTAAATGTTAATTAAAGTTTTTAAAAGCAGTTCAAAGAAAGTTCAGATTTAAATGAGTTCACTCACAGCCCGGCTACAGTTCAAGTTGGTTCCATTAGTCACAATTAGTGTTCCTTCGTTGTAAATAGTTTCATAAAGGTTCCTTTAAACTCGTGATTCATAACTGTACAGGCCCTTTCTGTTCCTTAATTTGTGTTCCAAACAATTCTATACTGTTATATTTTTTGTTCATTAGAACTTTTAATTTTTGTGCTGGTTGTAGTTTACTTCATAAATTTATATGCGCGCAGTAGTTTAGTCTCAAAGATGGCGAAAGATAACTTAATGGCCTTGTTACTCAGTCTTTCCTTCTGTACTGCCAAACTTTTAACAGCCGTATGTTTTATTTCTGAATCGGTTACACTGCAGTTATAAAATCACCAAATGGTAATGTTAGTCTTTGAATATTGCCATGCCAGAGTGAAATAGTAACTGTGACTAAATTCTCACTAACTACTTAACTATTCAGATAATGATTCAATAGTTCTGTGGGCTCTACGGATTCATCCGTAAATGTATAGTTAAATGTTCTAATTCATAGACACTTACAAATGCGCAACATATTTCGCAACTTTCATGAGAGAGGCTTTTAGACTTTACTCATGAAAGTAGTCGATAACTTTTTTATGCTTGCCTTTTTATGAATTATAAATTTCACAGATATATATTTTTTTCATGTAGTTAGTATTATATTTATGATCTTCATGTGATGAAATTGCTTTTGACGTATGATCACATGTGGTTGTAATATACCAAGTGTACGGTTCATCATACATCACCCTGCATAATAGGTGCTTAAATGTCGAGTTGGGGTCACTAGTTAGTTACATCGTACCATACCATAGTCATATTTTTATTAAGATGGTGGCAACATACAAACATTCGAGTGTTACGCATTCTGTGGTTGCAGGTATTAGAGGTTTAGAAAGTAAGTAAGTAAAGAGCTATTGAAATGGAATAAAATGGCACAAAGTTACATAATCCAATACGTCCAAGAATAAATCAGTTACGTAATTATGTACATAAATTTTATTGGATATCTTTGTCACGTCGATGGTATTAGGTGATAAAAATAACCAATGACTTTAGAGGTAGGTTACACTGATAAACATTACTTATAATAGCAGTAAAGCTCCTTGTGAAAGAGTTCGTCTAGGGAAATATTGACACCTTAACTATTTCTGCCGCATAGCAGTGACGTGAGTATTACTGAGTTCCGGTTTTGAAGGGTAAAAGGTGCTGGTGAAATTGCAGGTGCGGGCATGGGACTTGCCGATTTGTGACTCAGGGTGACGAACGCAGTGGCACTGCCCCTCAGTTCAACTGGAACTGCTATGGACTGGCGTGTCGCTGTAACTAGGCGCACGACTTGCTCAACCCGTCAATTGGTATCTAATAAAAAAATATATTATATGTTATTATTTAATATATTTAAGTAAGTAATCAATTATGACAGTGCGCCTATGAACTTTGATATGATAAATTAATAATTAGTTTTTTCTTTGTGTAAAAGTAGAAATACGAGCATTCGTGATCTCGGCTTTCCTCACTTGATGATATGAGTCATAATAATTATAATAAAGGTTATTTTTTTTTAAATTCGGTTTTTAATGTTTGTGTTTTGTAACTAAACTTTAAAATCCTACTTGTCAGGTTTTTTAGGTTCGTGGAATAAAAAACATACGGGTAAAATTATATAGAGCGGTTTTGTCCGAGAAACTTTAGCAATAAATCCTATATTCGATTTGCAGTAAAGATTTTTTACTTCCCCTACAAAAGCTGAGCTAATCAGACTATTGCAATATAATAAATATTGCAATAGTCTGATTAGCTCAGCTTTTGAATATCGTGATGGTTACTGCCATAATATTCCTATATTTTTTGTGAGAAAAGCTCACAGGTGGCGTTGACGGCAAAAAAAGCCGTTTAAACAAAGATCTGTACAGAACACAGTGCATAGAGAAATTCATAAGGTGTTGACTCGGTCTGTAGATAGCTAGAACGGTGGTACGGGTGTGGTAGCCGCTGGTTCGAATACGTCAGGTTTAATAATTTTTTGTGTTAATCTTTGTATCAATAATATTTTCGGACCATTGATAGTCTTTTTACAAATTATATAATATTAGATTCTATAGGGAAACTGTTCAGTGTCATGGGTCATTTTGATACCTCCAACTACGCCACTTCATTTTTTAACCTGTTCTGTTTTTATTTTGTTTTTTCTTCTTTTTTTTTCGATACTTCCAACTACGCCAACTTCATTTTTTAACCTGTTCTGTTTTTATTTTGTTTACTTTTTTCACAAAATTCGTTTTTTTTGTTTTTTTTTCGACCTTTGTTTCATTATTTTTTTTCACAAAATTCTCGTAGCATAATATTAGTAAATAAATATGGCTGTGAACACTACGCCAAATAATTTTTTTTTTTTTTTTTTACAAAATTAGGTTCTTTGGTTTTTTCGAATTTTGTTTTTTGTGCCTTTTTTCACAAAATTCGGGGAGCAAAACATTAGGTGTACTAATGAGGTCAAATTGACTCTTTTTAAGGCCTACTGCCAGACAAAGTACACCTGCGGCCTGTGGGTTAATTATACGCAGAAATCCTTCAATGCCCTGAAGGTCCAGTATAATAACACCTTCAGAATGCTGTTGCGGCTGCCCCCATTCTGTAGTGCGTCCGGCATGTTTGCGGAAGCGCGTACCGACGGTTTTGACGCAGTAGTTCGGAAACGCATTTCGTCGACCATGAGCAGGATGCGTGGCAGCGGTAACAGCCTTCTGAACACCATATCGGAGGATGTAGCGTGTCCGCTACTGTGCCACTAGACCAGAATTCATGTCACCAAGAAAGGCTGGTGACATGAATTCTAATTACGCGTAGGTACCTATTGTACATTTGTATTATATATTTTTAAGTGTTTCTATTTTAATTATTTCATTAAGTGTAATTTACTAACATAGTCCTAAGTTTTTGATTGTCACTAACAAAGTGGATCAATGATCTTAAATAAATAAATAATAATAATAATTATTATTATTATTAGTAAATAAATAAACAGAAAATGACCAAAAAATAAAGTTGGCGTAGTGTTCATTCGGTGATATCGATTTATAGAGTCACCTATTTTATCAGTATTTTTCTTGCAATTTTGTACCACGTTTGTAGTAAATAAACAATTTATCTATTTCGACAATTTTTACGTCGAAGTATGTTTAGCGATCCAAAGGTTTGTTGCCTACTTTTGAGGCACAACGCCCCAGAACGCAAACTTTAATAAAAAAATTTACCTTTGAATCGTATTTTGTACATTAATTGAAAGTAAATTAAATGAATGAATGAAATATTATTTATTACTTATTGCACATAAAATTATAGTGGCAACATAGAACAGTAACTTAAGTATAAACATAGTAAGTTAATGTGCAACAAATAGGCTTTATTGCTATGTAGCTATTTCTTGGGAGAATTACTATGGCCTACGTATATTTCTCTCGTGAGTTTTGGGTGTAATTTGTGGATTTCTATGTGTGTATCCATTGCACCCACGCTATAGGGTTTCCCTAGTGCAAAACTATGAGTGTGTACGCTATCTATTCATTTAAACATACATATTAAACTTTAATACATAGTAAACTTTATATCATTGTACAATTTAGTACCTTACATCTATTAACTAGAGTTGAAGAAACATGTTCCTGTTGTCATAAAGTCGTTACTAAAACAGTATCAAAAGATTATTACAAGATTATTTGACGTTTTGTCTAACGTTGCCATTCTTGAATTAAGTATTTGGTGACTTTTTACTCTGAAGTATTAGTATCAATTCTTTTTGGTAAACTATATTCATTAAATTTGTTCCTTATACATTCTTATTTAAAACCTTTTTTTTGTTTTGGGTAAGACCCAAGCCACGCACAGCTTTGACAAAATCGTGCCTAATTACTATTTACCTGGTATATTCTTAAACCATCTTGCTTTAGCTAAGGGTGAAAAGCCCAATATTTGCTGAATGGTAGCACAACTTGTTGACTCAGCAATAATGTAGAGAGGATGTGAGTATTGTATAGTCAAGGGAATATACTGTGAGGACTGCATATCATCGGCAGGCAGCGGAATGCTCATAGTAATCGAAACTAAATTAAAAAAATCAAAACCAACGTCTTACCTTGTCGTACACATATACTTCTGAATTCGCCTTTCTGTAGAATGTGTCGTTCTTATAATACAACTAATAATTGCAATTGCAATTCGACACATTTTTAATGATTATTTCTATAAATTGAAATGTAAATTGCGTGTTCCTACAGCATGTAATAATAATAATTGATTATAATTATTTCTCTTATTGTTCACAAAATATTTAGTTAATACAATTGCACTGTCATATTTACGTCAATCAATTATTTTTTCCGATCTTATAATCAATTATTTTCCTTAAATTTTAGTACATTAGTGAATAATTGGATTATTAATATTTGAAGTTGTTTTTATTTTTATTTTATTGTTATTTTTGTATCTGGGTATATACCGAGTATATTGAGTGATGTGGATTGTAATTGGCTTACACATAAGAACTGTGCCTTACCAATGTTGTCTTTTCATCTTATTTTTTCTGTGTAGTCTGTTGGTGTTCCAAATGAATAAATAAATAAACCTTTCATAGATGTCTCACAGATGGCGCTACGGCAAAAAGTCGTTAAAAAAACCAAAAAGCAAAGCTCTGCAACAGCATATAGAAAAATTCGCTGAGTCTGCTGGTTTGTTCCGTAGCTTAGGTGGGAAAGCGTCGGCCTGGTATGCTGAAGATGCTGGTTCGAATCTAGCCGGATCGAATGAATTTTCTCCGTGTTCGATCTTGTATTGATAATTATAAGTAAGTAGTAGAGTAATTTCACAAAAAGAATTGACTATCATGGTAGTAAAATATCGTGACAGTCAATAAATTTCATATATAAAAAAAAATATACGTCACTTCTTTGCCAAACTGAAAACAAATGAATAAAGCTCATTGAACTAATTGACAAATAAGTAACATAAAAATTGAGACGAACAAGCGAGAAAGGCGCTGTTTACACATCGATTAGGTATCGCTGCAACGCTGAAAAATGAAGACATAACTCTCCCAAGTAATTGAATTTTACCAAAAGGCTTGTTTGCTAATCAAGTAGTAAATAAGTACTGACGGTGAAGGAACGTCACATTAGACATCTGAGTGAATGTAAGGTCAAAAAAACTGACCTCAAAAGTTTGTGGAATTACATCTATTTGCCAAGTTTTATTGAAATCGATGAATGGAAAGTAGGTGAAATCCAATAAACTGGAGTCATCCCCTAATTTCTTACTCTTAGAGGAAATTTAAATGGGACCACTGCTGGGGTACCCGCTTTCCAACATAAAGTCGCCTTTAGTAGCTGTAGAGCTCCTTGTGAAAGAGTTCGTCCAGGGAAGTAGTGCCACCTTGCCTATTTCTGCCGCCAACAAATCGCTCGTTTTTGCAATACAAATATGGTTTGAATATCTGCCGCTTTACCCCACATGAGAATCCCGTAGGACATTATAATATGGAAGTAACTAAAGTAAACTAGTCTAGCAGTACTAACATCGGTAAGCTCACGAATTCTGCGGACTGCGTATGCAGCGGAGCTTAATCTGCTGGCCAGGAAAGATATATGTGGAAACCATTGAAGTTTACTATCTAAGGTCACTCCCAAGAAGACTGCTTTATTAACAAGGTCTAACTTTTCTCCGTTTATTTCTATGCTTGGACTAGTCGATTTTACGTTAGGTAATTCAAATTTAACACATTCTGTCTTCTTGGCATTAAAGCAATAAACTACTTTAGAGAGGGTATCATTAATATGATCATAGTTAATGTCATGTCTGTCTGTTTTAAAAATCAAGGATGTGTTATCAGCAAACAACACTATTTCGCAATGGTCCTTAACAAAGAATGGCAGATCATTAATATAAATCAGAAATAAGAAAGGTCCAAGTATTGAGCCCTGCGGAACACCCATTTTTACCAGAGAACCCAAAGAAGTCACTCCATTTATGTCTACTTTCTGAATTCTACCGTTGAGATATGACGAGACAAGTTTCGACGCCTTGCCATTTACACCGTAATGTTCCAGCTTCCTAATAAGAGTAATATGATCAACGCAATCAAATGCCTTTGGGAGGTCACAGAAAACACCAATAGCGTTCTGGGACATTTCCCAAGCATCAAAGATGTGTTTTAGTAACGCTACCCCGCATCGCTAGTCGATCTATCACTAGTAAACCCGTATTGTTCACTATGAAAAATATGATTCCTACCGAAATAGGACAGTAATTGAGTCAGCATAACCTTTCCACACATGAAATCTCAATAGCTCGTTCAGTAGAAAGATTTGTGATATCCTTACTTAAATTTTAAGTTACGTTTAATAGGTACGATGGCAGTACTTCCTTGGACGAACTCTTTCACAAGGAGTTTTGCTGCTACTAAATAGAAGTGTTATGGTATTAGGTCTTACCTGTGGTCGTACATCCTTCACAACATCCCAGCACATAAGATCGCATCGAATCTTAGACAATGGATCGCCCTGGAACCTCGCAAGCTTCTTCGTGATGCAGAGCACTGGCATGAGCACCACCATTAGCACTATGAATAGTTGCACTTGCATCTTGATTCTCATTTTTGTCATTGGCAATCACTCACTGAACCTTATTCATTATCCTGTAAATAGTCAACTGGGTTTTATTCGTCGTGTTTATCTTAATACAAATAAAAATTGATTATTTCTTTTACGTCAAAGAAAAGCAAACATTCTTTGTTTATTATTGTGTGAATTATATTATTTTGTGTAATCCCTATGTATGTACACTTAATCTTTAATATCAACAAAAATATCAATGAGTTTAAATTATCAATGACATATCTAGAAACGTAAGAAATTTATCATTCACGTAGCAATGTTGTGAATTTTGATTTTTTAAATTATTAATACAATAGAATAATTTGTTTCGTATAAATATGAATATAAATGTCGCAGTATTAGAATTTAAAATATGATGTCGAAAATACAACGGTTTGCATAGGACTAACTTAGGAAATGAATTGTTCTAAATTGGTTGGATATAATACTTATGACCATCACTAATATATATTATAATGATTTATACAAAATAAAACAATAGAACTAAAAAAATACAAACTATTGTTCATATAGAAAAAAATAGACGTTCAATAAAAAAATCTTTTAAACAACACTAGGTACAGTTTTTAAAATATTGGTAACATTTTAAAAACTGTACCTATTTTATTTACGAGGATATTGGATCAAAAATATAGAGACTTTTAGAGAGTTGTAATTAAAGCATAATTTATTTTCTACCATTTTTCATCTCTTTATACTTGCGTTCACTTTCTTTAAACTCTAGATACATGAATAAAGGTAATGATATAGAGTAGCGACTTTGTTCATAAAAAAATATTAGGAACCTTACAATAGTACCTAAGTTCTAAAATATGACACTAGCATATAAAGATGCTGTAATATTATTAAAATAACCATTTTAGGTATCCCGTTAATGTCTAATAATGAAACTTATATATAATACTATTTAAGAGAACTCGTAATTTTAATGGTGTTTACAAACACTCACTATATAAAGACTGTAACATTAAACTGCACGTAATGAAAACAAAACATAACCGTAATCACCTCAATTAAATTCCATCAACGTTCAAATTCTATTTTCGAATTCAATTAAAATCGTAAGAACTTGCGTTTCGGATCCCAATCTTGTGTCATTGACCTTTTTGATTTGACAGGAAATAAATTAAAACTTTGACAGATGCTCACGAGCGTTTCGTTTGAAATACGCGGCAAGACTGGCATCGTGGTGAGCGCGTACGCATCGTTGCCAAGGCGATTCGTGTCTCAGCTTCATTAATACACATCGATGATGCTTTCCTGTTGGAATACCGATGACGGAAGGTTGCTTTTACCGAGCCGGTTTCCTAATTAAAAAGTGAAGCGGCGGCTTCCTGCTACTCGGTCGTTATTGCAACGATTGTTGTCATTAGCTCCTCAATTTCGTCGGCTGTCAATTGTTTGTTTATATTGCACACGTGTTTATCTGCACGCAGATTGTTAACGTTTTGGAGCAATGACAGAAAATTGTGGGTTTCATATTGAACACAGCAATTTTGTTGGATATAATTTCATTTGTTGCAGTTTGATAAAATGATTATTCATATGGACATACTAAATTTTGCATTAAGCACAGGAGTAGTTTCCCTTCTCAAAGATATAATTATGGAGTAAGTACAATAGACCATAAATAGAGCTATTATCAGAATACTTAGTACTGATGGCAGCACATGTTTATCAATATACATATTACTTTGTCAATCACATCCGGCTCTGTATAAAAGCCCAAATCTTTCAATAGTGCAACGACTGGGCAATCCCCAATGTGACCTTATGGCCTTGGTATCGCGCTAAACTATAGGTACCTATAACACGTCACATCACAGCAAGCTTTTATATCTGAAAAAGTTAAAAGAGTAGAAATATATAAGACTACTCATATCGTAAAGCTTACTCAGCTTGTTTGCAACCCGATGTTTTTTATGCTCTTTATGGTGGTACAAGATACAGTCTTAAAGATATTTCGGTATCATCCAAGTAGTCCACAATAGTGTACGTTCAATGTACTTGAAATACTTCTGTTCTTTTTTTGACCGACTTGAATAAAACGAGGATGTTCTCAATTCAGCTGTATGTCTTTTTTTTGTAGTATGTTTGTCACGCGTTTGTGGACCGATTTTGATGATTCTTTTTTGTTGGAAAGAGGGTACCTCAGTACTGGTCACATTTAAATTTGAAGAAAATATTGCACATTGTTTGATAATATTAATATTCCACCCTTAGGTGGCAAACTAGGGGATGAATCCGGTATTCCGCACTTTCCGGTAACCGATTTCAATAAAACTTGGCAAATTAATGTAATTCCTTGAACTTTGAGGTCGGTTTTTTTAGTACTCTGTACTGAGATTATTATAGTACCAAGTGACGGGACGAAGAAGTCGTGAGAAGCCTAGTGGTAAGCGACACGCCTGTCCATAACAGTTGCAGTGCCACTTAGAGCTTTAAATCGCAAAGATCTTAGTGGTACAGCCACTGCGCCCGTCACTTTGACATATAAGTCCCATGTGCTTGTAATTTCACCAGCACCCTTTGAAACCGGAGCGCAGTAATGCTCATATTATTACTTGGTGGTAAAAATAGACAAGATGGCAATACTTCACTGGACGAACTCTTTCACAAGGAGCTGTTCATAAAAAATAATTTCAACTATTAGGCACTATTAGGACGTTACGATCCGAACTTATCTTAATTTGTATATCAAATGATTAAACGCAAGACAATTTTATAAACCCAATTTGGAAGTAATATCTATGTTAATTCTTCGTCAGTTTCCTTAGAATATAATATAATCATTTATTGCATATATGTATCTTACATACAATTCACATTTAACAAAAGTAAAACACAAACACAAAGTTCTGCTTAAGAAATCTTAAAGAAATTTCTTCCTGCAGACTTAAGTACAGTACACAATAACTAAAATAAACGGGCTTACGTACACAACAAAACAAAAATGATATAAGGAAAACATTATCATGACAGTGACATTAAATTAAACTATATAAATATATTTTCATAATATAATAACTGAGAAATTTTGGAATAGTGCATAAATAATGCTCTTTAAGTCTCGTTTTGAAAATAATTCATAATTCACTTTGGAATTTATTAATTAATTTTGGAATGAATATATACAGTTACTTAATTACATGGCTTCAAAACCATTATTATTTCGAAAATCTCTAGCAAACGTTTTATTTTGGCAAAGAATATTTTGTTTTATTTTAAAAAGTTTAGTTTTTAGAAACATAAAAGTGTGATGAAGTGTGCTGTCTCGCCCACACATTTTCCCTCACCTTATGACTGATAGAGAAGGCAATAATTTAAAAAATCACAGCCACACGGTAATGCACTCTTCTTAATTAAGTTTAATTCATTCTAAATAATCGCCAAGTACTTAAAAAAGTACATCTAAAAAAAAATTTGGAATTTACTCCTGTAGATACAAGAATCCCCGACACTCGGGTCTCTAAACTTTAATCCCTACTTATTTTCGATACTTACACGAAGCATTCCAATCCATATTAACGGGTGCACTAATTAAGTCCTTGCATCCGGCGCGTACGCAGCGATCAACCGGTCGTTGAATCCAGAGCCCCTGTCGGCTATTTATCATCGCAATCAATCGATGTTTTGCTTTTTTCGAAAATCATCTTCATCAGGATGAATAACAAGATGCGAGTTAAAAACAGATAATAACTATTTGATGTGCGTCAATAATGTATATTTTTCAGTTGAGTTGTTTGTTTTGAAATGGAAGTTGTCTACTTCGAAACCTGCGTCTGTTATAAATGATAGTATAACATCCTTACGGTCTAAATAAGTGTATTTTTTTAGAAATAGTGTAACAATTTGTTGTCGTGTTGTCAAATAGGTTCATGAAATCGGTAATACAGTGGTCTTCATGAGAAATAAAATTTAAATTAACATAACTTTGCTCTACATACGATTTCTGTTTAAAACATGAACAAATGTTAGTAAAATTTCCTAATTTTTTTTATGAATCATCTTCAACGTACTTCATGGCAAGTTACACCGTCAAACAACACGTGCAAGTGATAAACATTTATTTTCAAAATGGGTGTTCTATTGTGGTAACGATGCCCGCGTAATAGACTGCCTCGGTTTCTCTGGACACTCTCACGAACAGCGGCGATGTTTTCGGCAGATCTTGCGTTTTGTTGATGCAGGGGTGTTGGCTAATGGTTCACTGAACCGGTTCACTCGAATTTGAGCACCAAACGTTGAATACTCGACTGGGAAGGACGACCACGTAAACCGTAAAATAGGCGCAGTTCCACGTGTTGCTCGACACTGTAATTTGCCATGATGATTTATCCTTAGTGACTGAAAAATAAACAACAAATTTGACAAATCAGCGTCAACAACATGGCTGCTATACACTGTCAAAATTTACCCGCCCTTGATGGAAAACCCTTTAGTATACAAGTGATATGACCTAATCTTGAGTTAAGTGGTTATAAATACAATGCTTTTCAGCGAAGTTGAGTTAGTCATTGAATGCGAGGGGATAAATTTACTGAAAGGTTATGGGCCTCGGCTCTCGATCAAAAATAGTTGCAGACAGGCCAGCTTGCTAGATACGGCAACAACATGTACATATAAGTATATTTCTAGGGAATTTAATTAATTATCTTACTAAGAATGAACTTTGAAATTATTTGTAATCTATTATATATTTGCGTAATTCCGACATGACAAGAGATTTTTTGATGATGATAAAATAGACTAATCAAAAATAACTACTGAATTACCTACATTCGTCCGATGGTGCATGAAATATTGCATAAAAATTAACAAGTGACATGTTTTAAAAACAATCATTATTGTATTGTATATCACTTTTTAATTGTTATTTATTTCGTTAATAAACCACTTGTTTAACGTTGAAGCAAAACGTCATGAAACGAGGAAGTTGGGAATTGGTTCAAATAAGTCTTCAAACCATGTGAAGGCTAGAGTCTGCACTGGAGCGTGGTGAACTATGGCCTGAACCCTATTACTTAGAGGAGGCCTGTACTTACCAGAAGGATGTACACATGCGTTGATGATAATACATATTCATTAGTTTAGGTTATAAAATGTGTACGAGATACATAAAGAATAGGCTTCAACCTATGGGCGCTTGCCAAGACGCTAATGTGTTTATACATTGAATCTGATGACGTTTCCTTGTGCGCAGTATGAGCCTTAGTACCCTTCTTTCTCCTTCCTCTAATAAACGTGAAGTTTATCTTCTTCTCCTCGGAATGAACATTCGTCATTTCCAAGAAAAACTCGCAAACTAAAAACAGGGGTCAGTAGTCTTAATGTTTGATTAATTCAGTTGACAAAGTCCTTTTGATTTAATACCTGTCATTCAACATATTTGAGTTTTTTACTCCCCTTTGTTGGCGGAATTCATATTGTGTAAAAATAATTTATCGCCATTTACGGCTACTACTCTGAGACTGGTGCATTTTTGTTCTTTGGCGATGAACTCAAATTTAGATGCGTACCTTTAAACCTTCTTCAACAACTGTGACTTCAATATTGAGTGGGGATTTTAAATTTAAAAGTGTCACGCATTTCTGATGTTTGCTGACAACTTCGATCTAGTCCTTATATACGGTATAAATAACAAAGAACCCTTATTGTTTTATTAAATTTGGTCAACTGTGTTAAACACTTTTTCATGTGACATATTAATAATTTATACTTTCCTTTGAATATGAAATTCTTTAAAAATAACTTCAATTTTTACGGCGTACCTATGTACCTGAATTCCTAGTATATGCTTATGTTATTTTATCAGTAAAGGTAATACGAGCATTCCGTCATGCCTCGTGGAAGGAGAACTGGTTATACCCAGGTAATGTAGGTACTTACTACATATTTACTAGTATAGTATTATTACCTATATATGACCAATACGTCAAAAAGGAGTGGGCAAAATACCTTAAACATGTTATATTGTGCGTCATGAGATTTTTTTTTAAGTTTAAAAATTGCTTGTTTTTAACTCTCATAAACAAAAGTAATTAAAAATCCTAAAATTTGTACATAACTGTTTGTATTTGATGTACGAGTATATCGTAGTGGTATCTAAAATTTAATATTATTCGATGAGACAAAAAAGAATAGAGCAGAAGTTACAATTTTTTTTTGAGTTATAGGATTTTCACATCTTCCGTA